AGTATATTTTAGTCTCTGTATGATGTACTGTGAACGAATAAGAACTTCTAGTTTGATTTACTGTGGTAAAAATATGTTTGACTGAAAGGTACTCATGTAGAGCTTTCTTGATAAATATTATTATTTATAGAAATTGGTAACTGATTATATTAATTTTAGAAATCTGGCCTGAATTATGTAAAAAAAAAATATATACAGGTATATAAACCTTATAACAGCTAAAAAGCTGCAAACTACTGTACAGAAAGTCTTGAAATATATTTTATAATACATAAAGACAATAAAAACCTTCCATATGAACAGATAAATTACATTATATGTTGTTGGTACAAAACATGCTAGAATTCAAATTGAAACTTTCAGAAAAGTGGGCATGGCATTTTAGACTTCCTGAATATAGAGACCTTCTGAGAAGCTGTATTTTATCAGAAAAACAATTGCTTGTCCTTAGTATACCTAATATATTTTATATTCAGGTTTTAGTTCAGGAATGGACAGCTCCAATCTTGGAGAAACACAGTCCAGCAGGTCTTTATGCATTTTTAAGGTCACATTTAAAGGATTAATTTGCAGTATTGAAAGACATAGGAACTTTTGCACTATTTAGTATGTTAAATACTCGGTGTCAAGGCCGGTTGTGTTAGAGAACTACAAGGTGTAGGCATTTAAATTCCTAGCAGTCTCTTAACTACTTAATTGAACAAACTGAGGAAAGATGATAATAAGAAATTGAATGAAGATTAGGAGTGGATCTGATTCAAAATTATCAAACTATTCACAAAGTCAGCTCAGTGATTTTCTTCAGAAATAACAGTGAAAAATGAACACAAACAAGGACACAAGTGGAAAGTTACACTTACACAAAAGGCACTTTTGTAGGCAAGGTTTTGTGGGAGTTTGACATTGAATAGGCTACTCGGCCACTCCTGGCCTCTTTCAAGACGTGATTGGATGAGACCTTGATCAACTGGCTAATAATTAGCAAATTAGCTAGTTATGTTGAATTCCCTCCTCTTGTCTGCGACCTTATGTTCTAAATCTCCCACTTAGTTCAAAACTAAATTGTTAGAAATTTTAGATATTCAAGTTTCAAGATTGACTCATAAAACCTTCTGGATCATGATTCTCTAAAACCAGGTTCACCACTTAAATAGTTTATTTTTAAACAAACACTGCTTAGTTGCAAAACAAAATAATATTGACTAAAGATTGTGTCTATCTAAGATTTAAATAAAGCAGATGTTTAACTATTATAATTTGTATGCAAATGGAAACAATTTTAACTATGTAGTCCATTGCATGTCTGGCATTTTAAAACACATCAGGGGTTTCAGTTATGAGGGAAATATAAAGCACTGAAGCAGGTTGTAGCAATTACAGAGTAAACTATGTAATTAGATATAATTACATAATAACTGAATTATCCGACCCATTATAGAAACACATGAAGCAGCATAACTATAGTTTTGGTTAACTTATCTTGCATGATATTTCTTACATTTTTATGTCAGTACTGGAATTTGGAACATACAGTACAAGTATGTGTCAAATAAATTATCTGCTAAATTTCTAACATCTTACAAGTGGGTGAAATACTAAACAGCTGTGATTCTGTAACCCCTCTTTGGTATAAAACAGATTACCTATTGTACATTTGCAACTTCTAGCTGTGAATACAAATGCATTTTCCAAGTAACAATTTAACAAAATTGGGTTGAGAGGATATCCAAGTAATTAAAGAATGTAATGAATGGATATTATTAAAATAGGCTATTACTTCCACAACTGTGCTTCACAAAATTGCCTGGTTCATCTTCATCTAAGGTTGATATTAATAAAATTAATTAAACTGTGCAGTAGATTGCATAATTAAATACATTTTTTTGTGAAAAGAGACTACATTCTATTGGGCTTTAATAATTCAAAAGATATCACACAGGAATAATATTTCTTAACTTGCAACTGTGAACTGTATAACAGGGTTTTCAGATACATGTCAAATAACAATGTAACAGTAAACAGTAACATTAAACCAGTTTATAATAAATATATTCATAATGTAAAATGTATATATTTATTTCCAGAACTAAGATGAAATAAAATTAGAAACTGATTTTGTTCCATTTAACAAGCTTGCTTTTCAATTCAATTCAAATGTAGAAAAAAAAACCCTAAGACATTCCTCATACAGGCATTGCTCTTGGGTGTCATTGTAGCTGCATGTGCAATTTGTACAGTATATATTCTGTGTGAGTAATTTTCAGAATAAAGGTAAATCTTTTTTTAAAGTTCAGCCTTAAACCAAACTACTGTTGCAGATATCAGCTGATTTTCTTAAGCACAATGTCGATACACTACAATGGATTTTATCAAAACACATGTCTTTTCTACTGTGGTATGGTAGTGTTCCATCCATCCATTGTCTATCTGTTTAATGCAGTACAGGGCTGTGGGGGAGTCAGAGCCTATCCTGGTAAACAGCAGGTACAAGGCAGGGTACACCCTGGACAGGACACCAGTCCATCACAGGGCACACACACAGACACACACCCTGGACAGAACACCAGTCCATCACAGGGCACACACACACAGGCACACACCCTGGACAGAACACCAGTCCATCACAGGGCACACACACACAGACACACACCCTGGACAGGACACCAGTCCATCACAGGGCACACATAGACACAGGCACACTTACACCAGCACCAGTTTTCCCAGAAGACACTTAAGCTTCCAGCATGTCTTTGGACTATGGGAGGAAACCAGAGCTCCCAGAGGAAACCCATGAAAACACAGTGAGAACATACAGACTGCACAAAGACAACTCCCCAGATCTAGACTTGAACCCAGAGCCCCTGTGCTGCAAGGTAACAATGCTAACCACATTGCAATATTCACCATCACTAATACATAATTATTTGATATTGTAGATATTTCACTGTACACATTATGTTGCAGAAGTTAAAATGTCCAAGCTGACTAACTGTTGCCAATGCAGGCTAGATACCCTGTACTTTGTACAAGATATTTTCACTTATACACAAAAATGATGAAGTCTATGAAAACGTACTCCTGTGTCATGACAGCAGTAGTGGTTAGGACCTTTGGGGCCTGTATCTGGAACACTTTGGGTTCAAAGCCTTGGTGGAACACTGAGAAAGATTCTTTACTCTTACTGCTTCACCAGAATTACCCACTGTGTGAATGGGTACACATGGTAGTGTGTTTTGAATAAAAGTGTCAGCTGAATACATTCTGCAACTTTTCATCTTTTTATGGTATAAAGATATTTAATTATTTTACTAAACAGTTTCTGTCTTAATTCCATTTTTCCTCTTCTCACAGAAAAACATGAATCGGCAGTTCAATTACAATCTCATTTTAAGCTTTATGA